GGCAGGTAGATGTATAGAGCGAGGGCAAGAGGGGCACTCTGGCATTATCTGAAACAACCAGTCTCTGGATGGTGGGGGACACAGTGGGGAGTCTGGTGCCGCAGGGCCAAAGCCTGCTAAGGGGATATGGGAGCATGTGACACATCTGGCCTGGGTCTGGGTACCTTGGGGTATCTGGCACAGCCATCTGTTGGGGGTGAGTAGATCTCCCTGAGGCGAATGGTCCAGGGTCCAACCGCCCGGATGTGCAGACTGAGCATGTCCTCATGGGGCGCAGAAGTCAGTGTGAAGGGGTGGTACTCGGTGGTCCCCAGAGCCAGGCAGGCAATCCGCACCCACTGCCCAGACTTGTACTCAAAGCCTTGGGGCCGCTGGAACTGCAGGTGGGTCACTCCTGGGTGTCATGGGCAGAGAAGGGCAGGGATCAGAAGGCTTGTTCCTGGTACCTGAGAACTGGCCAGTACCCTGTCCTCTCCACATGCCTGAGGCACAGGGAGCAGTCACGTGGTCTGAGCAAGTGGGGCTCCTGGGCTGGGAGTCAGAGGGCCCCCTCCTCTGTTTCCTGGGTAACCCGAAAGCTAGGCTTCTCTGCTCCCCTGTTCCAGCCCCTCTCCTCCTCTCAGCTCCCTCTTCCCACAAATGGCTCAGACCCAATACCACTGTCTTGGATACCAGCCTACTGGGTCAGGGGACCTTGGGTTCCTCAGGGACCATCTATCTCCAGTGTTTACCAAACCTCCACCATTTGAGGGTTACCTCTGTGATGGGCCATATCTGCACACCTCCTGCAGTATCATTTATTTAACATTTTTATTTAAGGTGATTTAGTTTTTCAATTTGTTTGGCCTTAACAAGAAGCTTAGATCACTAAGGTAGGTGGAAAACCAGTGGAAGGCGCTCTAAATAGAAGGCAGTATGTTTTATCAAATTTTAGCCAGATATTGTTTATAGCCTGAGCACAGCTGAGCCTCAGGCCTATTTTCTTTTTGTTGAAAAAGGAGACTTGCCAGTAAAGTTGAAATGAGGTTAATTTTCTCAATATGTGAGTCCTGAAGGTTAGACAGTCCCACGAAACTTAAGGTCACCTTCAGCAACCCTCTACAGGGATGCAAATACCCACTTTGGCCAACACCGACTTTCAACAGGCTCTCGCAATCAGGGTGATTGGCCTGTCTCTGAAGGGGTTATGCTGTGAGAAGGGGTGGGAAAGGGATATATGGTTCCCTGCCCTGTACCCGGGCCACACACGTGGGTCTTTCTTGTCCTTAAACCCCTCTGTCTGCACTTTCAGCCACCTCTTCTCATAGTCACTTCTCTCTGTCTTCAAGTCCTCCTGGGGGCTAAGCACAGCCCTTTCTGGGGCTGCATTTGCATCAGGAAAGCTGCAGGGGTCCCCAAGGCTATTAGAGCCAAGAAGGAGGTCAAGAGGCCTGGGCAGCTGTCTCCCCATGTCCCCTAAGTCAACTTCTAGTGCTCCCCACCCAGAGTCATCCTAGGCCTGATACCTGAAGGCAGCAGCTCCGCCTTCACCACACTGATCTCCACCTTCTTCCGGCTCAGGCTCACCAGCTTGTCTCCCACATAGATTAGCGCCGGGACCAGGAAGAAGATGTAGAAACGGGGCAGCTGGATCAGGCCAAAGCTGCCGTGGATGATGAGCTGGAGACATGACCAGTTAGTATAGCTTAGGCCCAGCCAGGGCTCCTTCCTGCGTGTCCTTTGCCCAGGCACTTCCTGCTTGGGCCTTGGGGCTGGGCTGGGTAGATGGGGCTGGTATCAGCTTCAGGCACTGGGTGGGGCGGGGGGGGGGGGGGGGAGGGTGTGTGTCTCAGATCTCAGGGTCTCAGTCTGAGATCTTGGGACCAATTCAGCCTGCTCTCCCCACCCCCCATCATGAGTGGTCATCCCCGTCCTATGGCCTGGCCCTGTCCAGAGAAGTCCCTCACCAGGATATAGAGCACGATGTAGAGGTGGTGGGTCAGCCAGAAACCCTGGAAGCTACGGCGCCGGAAGTAGTGGGAGGCGAAGACATACATGATGGCCAGGACCAGGAGCAGAAGCACCCCTGTCATACCTGAGGGTACAGAAGATGAAGTCAGGGAAGAGTCTCAGGACCTCCACCTGGGCTGAGAATATAACAGAGCATCCCCCCATCCTGCCCTCCTCTCCTGACCTCCCTCATCCCGCCCTGGCCTCCAGGACAGCTTGCTGAACAGGCTGCAGCTGGGGCTTGTCCTGGAGGCCAGACAGGGAACCTATGGCCACTATAGACAAGTGCGTGTTTACGGGAAGATGAAGATAAAAGGAGAGGTCCTCAGACAGAACCCCCAGACCCCACACACAGCCCTACCCACTACCTGGGACTGTCTGGAAGAACCACCAGTAGAACTTCTGAGGAAGCTGGGACCTGTGGGGCAAAGGTACATGGATGGAGCCTCTGGCTGGAGCAGGAGGGGCTCCACCACTATCACAATGTGATTCTGTTCCTGCCAGCCCTGACTCCTGACTGCTGAAGTTACTGGAACTCCACCCAAATGGCCAGGGATCCTCCCATGAAACATGGCACCCAGCCTCCTGCAGGTCCACCCTCTGCTTTCTCAGCTGTTCCCCTGAACTCTGACTGCAGCTGATCTTTGCTTCCTTTTCTGTTATACTCTTAGGCCTGCCCAGGCATGCTTGGTTCATGTTCTATAAGCTCTGTGAAGGCGGGGGTGGGGTGGGGGGCGTGTTTTGCTCATGGCCCTATCCCTATGCTAAAACAATGCCAGGCACATAGTAAATGCTCAGTATCTGCTGAGTGATTGCCTGTATCTTGGCATCCCTACTCTCTGGCTTCTGGATGGACACATAAATGTGCAGTGAATGGCTGAGATGGCAAGCTGCGCGTCAGGTACATGTGGGAAAAAGTCTCCAACTTCATCTCCCAAACTCCTTTTCTGGCCAGTAACGGCCAGCTTTCTTCCTGAGGACAAGAAAGTCACTTCTCAGCTTCCCCAAGCGGGCCGGCTTTTCACCCTCACTCAGTGAGAGAGTGGAGTGTCTAGCACCATCTATTTGTTTTCTATTATACTCTTAGGCCTGTCCAGGCGTGCCTAGGGGACCCTCCCCAGAACTGACCCATCATTCACAAAGACGTTGGGGAAGACACAGGCCAGCAGGCTGAGGGGGCTGACTGAGAAGATGTAGAAATTGACTCCATGGCCAGCACTGTGCAGAACTGAAAGAGACAGACCATTAGATATGCGATCCGTGGCCGACTCGATGTCCAACCCAGAGGGAGATGAGACACGGAGGGAGAGATGAAGGTATAAGTAGCTCCAGTCGCCTTGCTGTTTCCCCACCCCAGCTAGACCCAGGGGGCTGCAGCAATGCGGGGGGATGCCCAGGAGCCACCTACTGGCCAGGACAACAGCAGCCATGGCGATCCAGCGATGGAAATCCACAGCAGCGTCGAAGGGCACGTAGCGGTTGAGGAAGGTCTCTCGCAGGAAAGTGATGAGGTTGCGGCACATGGTGAGCAGGATGTAGGAGAACATGAAGGAGATGCTGGCGGCCGTGCCCCGCGACAGGATGATGCCCACAAAGGTGGTCTCTGCAATGCCCGAGGATGGCGAGGCAAAGGCATAGTCTGGGGACGGAGTGGGATGGTGAAGAGCAGGATAAGCAACCAGAGGGCTCTCCACACATCCCTTCCCACTTCCCGCAACCTGGTACTCGTACAGTAGGCACGCTCTGCAAACAGGCCGGCACAGATGGCTGAGAAAACGGCGACACACACGATGTGCCTCAGGTAGTTCTCCACGAAGCGCTTGTACTGCTGCAGCTTCTGGGCCAGGAGGCCCCGCTGCATCTTCTCCTGCAGCGCCTCTGTATACAACCGGGGAGCGGGCACGGCCACCCTGCAGCAGGGGGAGGCAGGGTGACCTTAAGGTCAAGGCACCCTGGCCTCCTCGAAATACTACCCCATGAAGGAGACCTGGTGACCTGGCAGGGGTCTGGATGGGCCACAACAGAGGAAGGAGCAAGCATTTGGGTGTGGACGCCCAATCCCCCAAACCTTTACCTCTCATCTGTATTTGCCCCATCCACCCCCTCCTATGTCTCCCCACTACTCCACCTCCTCTTCCTCCTGTCTGTGCTGTCCTTCCCTCCTCCTGCTCCCCGCATAGGCCTCACTGCTGTACACAAAGCAGGCAGGAGCCAGGAAACCCCTTTCTGCCATCTAGGTGTTGCTTCTGAGTGCCAGGCCTGAAGGGTGTTCATCATTTGACTTTACAACCCACCAGTCAGGTCAGGGACAAATGGAATGAGACTTAGGATGGTCCCTTGTGTGTCAAAGGGTTGTGGGCAGGGCCTGGAGACCTTGAGACCTCTCCCCACGTCTCTTCAGGCACAGGGGTCTGGGAAACACTTACTTTTTGCCAAACCTCTTCTTCAGCCCAGGGCCTCCCAGCTCTGGGGCTTCTGAGGCAGAGAGCCCCACTCCCTGGAAGCAGGGGCTGAGAAAAGAAAAATGGGGCTTATTTTTGCAGCCAAGAGAAGAACCACCAGGTCAGAGTTTGGGGGTGAGGTAGGGGTGGATCCGGAGACACATCCCTGTCCAGAGAAACCTGCCCATAAAACTGGTCAGAGAGGAAAAAGCAGGAGCAAGGCATAATGAATGAATACGATCTGGTCATCTGTTTTGTAGGACGGTTCTGTCCTGTAATGGCAGGGAGAGACCCAGGCTCCTGAGCAATATGGGGTGTGGGATGCAGCTGGAATGTGGGCTAGGACTGACCAAGCACCAAGAGGTACTTCCAGAAGGAAATGTCTGCCCCCAGGAGTGGATTCAGCCAGCCCTACTTCCTTCGTTTCTCTGCAGGGGACCTAGCCAAAGGGACCTCCCAATGCCCCATTCCTGCTCACCGTTCCCCAGGAGTCCGAGTGATGAATGAAACGCGACAGCTGATGTTTGGTTTAAAGATATCTCCAACACCTGGAGAGGAGAACAAGAGGCTGGACAGGCTTCCCCGTGAAGGCGGTGGCATGGGGTGGGATGGGGTGGGAGATTCTTCCTCCACCGCCCTCTCCACCCCTGTCCCTCCAGGAAGGCAGCCACAGCACTTGCCAGTGACTTGGTCATGTTCTCATCTTTTCCCACACTTCCCACACCAGTGTTCCCTCACTTCCCACACTGAGTACGCACTGCACACAGAGCAGCCACTACTGGACAGTGTGGCAATTCCATGCAATTAGAAAAAGGGGTACCCCTCCAGGTTGATGCCAGGGCCTGCAGATCCTTTGTGTAAAGAAAATAGTGCCTTTTCCTCTGACTGGACACACCCAGACCAATGCACATAGGTTGGTGAGCAGCATGTAGGCTGGATGGCAGCCCGTCCTTGATCCCTCAGTGGGCATCTTTGTGCAGTGCACAAACTGCCCAGATGTATGTGATGCCCTTGATTCCGCATGCCTGGCTCTGTGCTATGCATCAAGGACTAAGAGAGAACTGAGATCTGGGTCCTATCCACCAGGAACTCTCATTTTGAGGACACACCCTTCTTTGACTCTGACCATTCCTAACATACTCACACACCTCCACCCCCACCTCGGACGCAGAGCTGCGTGCGGCGGAGCTCGCTGTCATGGTCCCGCAGCATGAAGTGGAAGTCCTCCCACGTCAGCTCCTCCTTGTCCTGGAAGCCCGACTCCCGGAACATGGACTCCACCACCTCGGCCAGCTGGGCCTTGGACAGGCAGTTGTTGGAGATCTCAATGAAGGACCTGGGGAATGACCAGAAACAGAGCAGCCTGTCACCCAGTAAGGTCAGGCTCAGGCAGGTGCAGGGTGGGGCAACCCCCAGATGATCTAATGTGGTTACCAGTGACCCAGGAAATAGCACTGAAAAGGTGTTCATCCAGCCTGCACCTGATACTAGGCTGGGTGGTGTGACCATGGGCTCAAAGGACAGAATAAAACTGAAAGTGACCTTGACCAATTTGAATGAGCAGCCCTCAAACAGGGGGCCAGCTACAGCTGGGATAAATGTCCACTTAGTGTAGGGACATGTCCAAGCACGCCATGGCCTTCTCACATGGTTAGCTCTCTGCCCACTCTCTTGCGTTGATACCTCCCACACCATTGCTGGGCTCCCCCTTTTCACAGTCCAGTGGGAGCACAGACAGCTGGGGGGAGAGGATACAGCTGCCATGGCTGCTACTTCCTTGTGCCAACACCCCAGGGCACGGGCAGGAGTGTCTCCACACCCAATCTGACAGCACCCAGAATGGCAGTTGCAGTGGCTGTGCTTTGGGGCAAAACAAACAATGCACGTAAGTTTGCGCGAGTCCAGAGGAAAAAGACTTTCTCCTGCATGGCAGAACAAGTACTGTCATCACATTAAAAAGACACATCGTCTCACTGAGACTGAGCAAGAATCACACTGAGCAGAGGATGAGAAGGTGGGAGCTCACCGCTCACCCCTCAGGGGCAGGGACCCTCCCCTAGATTCCTGAGGCCCTGCCCGGGCCTGGGCCTGCAATGGCATGCACAGCAAGGTACAGCCTGCAATTAGCTTCACCCTGGTCATTCCAGCAATCCATGTCCAGTTGTAGCATCTGGACAGTAAGAGGGATGTGGCAGTTAAGGGGAATGCAGAAGTCAATGGAAAGGCTTAAGGGAGTAGAAAAATTAAAAATATCTGAGCTGTTGTATGCATTCCATTTATTCGTTTCCTCATTTATTTCATCTTATTCACTTAACTATGTATTGAATGCCTGCTATGTGCCAATCACAGCTCGAAGGAGGCGGATTCCGCAGGGAACAAAGAGAGATATGAGCTCTGTCCTTATGGAGCTGAAGGGGGCTGTGTTACTGGAGCACTGTCTTCAAGAATAAGAAGTCTATGAGCTCAAAACTGATCTTTATCAGCACACCATAAAAACTAGAGGAACTTTCCATGTTTCTCCACGTGCCTGTCATGGTAATTAATGACATGCAGTCCTTGGAAGAGTGACCAAGATCATCCATCCATTATTTCACTGTATAAAAGCATAGTGTTAGGTACGCTGTCGAAGAATTTAGAAAGAGCCAAAGGTATCCAAAAGGGGTTAGTGCACTTTTGTTATATTGGTGTTGGCAGCTATTGTGTTATTTTGTCATATTGGTGTTGGCAGCTATTGTGTTATTTAGTCTTGTTTTGTTTTAACAGTAAGTGCAGACAGTTTTAACAGACAGTGCAGATATAGATCCTCCTGTAGTCAGGAGACTGGCCAGGTAAACTTTTGAAGCTGACTGCTCTGAGAATCTAGGATGCACTGAGGGCCAGTTCTCAGTGCAGATGTGTCGCCTTACAGCCGATTCTTAGACCACCCCCTCTGCATTAGCCTCTGACCCATTAGTCGAGAGAGTGTCTCGGAAAACTGAGGCCGGATGGAATGATATCTGTAAAGCTCTCTCGGGGGGCGTCTCGGCCTGACTGGGACCTGATGGAATGATATCAGCTGTCTCCCCTGGGAGGACATGTAATTATGTCTTGGGGCAATGTGGTGGAGTACGAAGGCATAGCATTTGCTGGAGTACACTGGGAAAAGGTCAATGGAAAAGGCCTTAAGGCGCACAAAAATACACAGTTAATGACTCACAGCATAGCAGTTTACTTCCTTGAAAATAATCAATAAAAACCATGCCTCGACCCGATTCGGTGGCTCAGTCTATCTCTGAAGGCTGAGCCCCTTGGTCTCGCTCTTAAATCTTACTTCTGTCTCTTGTTCTTATTCAATCTGCGTCGCCCCTCTCGTGTCCCATTTGCCCTTGCCACGCAGGACGTGACACAGATGGCCACATCACTTCCTCACCTACCCTCCTCTGACCCGACTTGTTTTCCTGTTTAAAACATCAGGAAGTCTCAGGACTGGGAGGGACCAGACCATACCGCATCATAGTGAAGAACTCGTCTTTGGAGAGGAAGCCATTCGCATCAAGGTCATACATGGTGAACATCAGGCGGGACTTGTCCTCTGGGGAGCCTGGGAAGAGAAAGGAGGATGCAGATCGCCTCTCTGCTGAAAGACCCCTGGGTCCTGGGATGGCCAACCATCCCCCTACCTTTCATGAAGACCACCAGGATGTCCAGGAACTCCCGGAAGGACAGGTAGCCATTGCCATCTTTGTCAGCCAGAGAGAACATGGACTCCACAAACATGTCCTGGGGCTTGAGGCCCAGGGACTCGGCAAACTCAGCTCTGGTCAGTTCACACGTCAGGGCCTCTCGCACTTTCTGTGAGGAGTCCAGGGACAGCGCCCCTGCATACGCATGGTCAATGTCCAGCACCTGTACTTGGATAGCAGCAGAGGGGAGGAGAAAAGGAGGTGAGTCCTGGGCTGGAATCAGTTCAGTGACCCCTCACATCTTCCCAAGTCCAGCTCAGAAAGGGTGAGCCCTGATGGCTACTCCTGGTCCTCAGATATACTCCTGATGTGGGCCTGTAGAGGGGGTAACTTGAATCTCTAGCATTGAGCCCATTTGCTCCCTACACCCAAGATCCAGGAACTTTATACCAGTAGAAATAATGCTGGGTCTGTAGCAGGCAGGGAGTGGGACTGGGAAGGGGCAAAGTTTGGGGATGAAAAGCGAGAGAATCTACACTGGGAACAGAAGATGTACTAGACACGGGTGGATTGGCAGGGAGAGGCTGGGGATATATTCTCTTGCCAATTCAGACAGTGCTGCCATGTCCTTGATTTGGTCTTTGTCCATTGTGCAAAGATTTTAAAAGTCATATACATGTAACTATCACTTGTTAAATGCCTATAACATACAGTTAAGTCCTCACTTAATGTCACAATAGATTCTGCAACTTTAAGCGAAACAAAGTATAATGAAACCAATTTTACCATTGGCTCATTGATATAAACGAGAGTTAAGTTCCTATGGCATCGCATCAACATTATAATGAAACGACATTATTTGAGGACCTGCTGTACCAAGCATTTGGGCTAAACATTGTACATAGAACTGTATCTTTCAAACTAGAGAGCATTTCAGAATGCCTTGGTGGGCTTGTAGGCCCCAACCCCAGAGTTCCCGATGTATTAAGTCAGGTGTTGAGGAAACAGGAGTGCTGAGGATTTGCATTTCTAACAAATTCCCAAGTAAGGCTACTGCTGCTGGTTCAGAGGCTCCACTTTGAAAACCACTGATGTAAACCATCTCACTGAGTCCTCACAACAACCCAAGGAGATGGATCCTGTTTTAATCACTGTTTAATAGATGAGGACACTGAAACACAGAGCAGAGATGATGTGACTTGCCTCAGGTCATATAGCTAATGAGTGGCAAAGCCAGGATTCAACCACGGCTGTCTGTTTCCAGCCCACAGAGCAGAAATGTTGTTCACCCCATGTGGAGTCCTGTCAGGCCCGGCTTCCCTCCAACCCCTGGGCTGGTCCCATCTCCAAAAGGAACAGCCATAGCACCTGGGCAAAGAGATGTCTGAAGAAGACCTCCAGGATGCGGCCCCGCTGCTGCTTGGTCACAGCCTTTTTGAACAGCTCATTCTCACCAATCTCAACCACATGGAGGCCCAGAGTCCACTGCACACAGAAGCCCCGCAGATACTGCACGAAGCTGCCTCGCTCCTCCTCCGAGTTAAACAGCAGCACCTGGTGGGGGGAAGAAGGCTGAGCCAAAGCTCAGAGTTCAAGCTTCTGGTTCAGCCTCCCCTCCAAGGATCTTGGGTTGGGAGAAGGAAGGAAAAGCTGCCCCCATCTGTCCAGGCTGGGGCAAGGTGAGTAGCCCAAGGGGGTCAGAGGACGGGTCAGGTTGAGTGTGGGAACCTCCAAAAGGAGTGCCTCTCCCAACATCAGCCCTCAAAGGTGAGCTGTGTAGCGGAGAAGAGGGTGACCTGAGAGGACTCGCTGTAAGAGGGAAGGCAGGATGGCCATACCAGATCATATTCCTTGGGGATCTTGAGCAGCAGGGTGCGGTGTCCACGGTTGTTGGACAGAATGAGGTTGACCTGCTGTGCGGGCCGCAGCTGGACGGTGCGCAGCACAGAGAGACGCCTGTCCAGGACTTGCAGACGCCTGTCTGGAAGCAGCTGGATGCTGATGGGGTAGCTCCTCTCCCTAGGGCCTGGCCACTCCATCGCTGAGGAGGGGATCATTAGGCAGAACACATCAGCAGAGGTCCCTAGGCCCCTGCTTTTAGGCCAATTCCACTCTACCAGTCTGAGCAGGCACCCCAAAGCCGGGCTTTCCCCCCACATCTGTAACCTGGTTCTATCTCCCCACCATCTGTCCCTCCTCCCACTCCCCAGCCCCATCTCACCTGGCACTCCATCTTTGGCTGTTTCCTTCTTCATGCTCTCTTTGCCTTTCTTTTGTAGCTTCTTGCGTTCTTGGCCCCGGAAATAGGCCACCACCCCAGAAATAAGCAGACTCACTGAAGGGGGTCAGAAGGAGCCAGTGGGTAGGGGAGCCCCTTACTAGCAGCTTCACTGAGGCTTTGGCTGCTGCACCTCCCTTCTCAAGGCTCCCCGAGCCTGGCCTCAGCTGTACAAAGGAGCTAGCCCTGCAGGTAATGGGGGGCAGGGATAGTCTGTGGGGAGGGGAGGCCAGGAGAAGAGAGATGGGTGGGGGGTGAAGGGCTCACCTAGTGGAAGACAGCAGAGAGCCACAATGGTGATACCAAAACCAGGACCACTGCCCTCGAAATAGTCAAGCACAGTCACAGGTACACAGGGTGGCAAGCCTTCGGTTGTGAGCTGCCAGGGCTGAGGGCAGGGTGCACCTGAGGAAGAAGGCACAGAAAACCTCAAAGCCTCAGGATCCCACTCCTTGGCTGGGCATCCTTCCTTTCTCCCATAAGGAACCAGGTGCCCTCCCCCCTCCCAGGCAGGTGCCCTCCCCCCTCCCAGGCTCACCTCCCTAGAACATGTTCCCCTCAAAAAAAACCCTTCCATATCCTATCTCTCAGCACCCACTGTAGTTTGACCATAGGGTGTAGCCTGCAAACCCAGTCCCTACTAGGGAAGACAACCTAATGCAGGCCTCCCAACCAGACACAGAAGGGGCTCCCTGGCGCCTGGCTTCCTGGATAGCACCAAGTGATTCCCCCAACCTTGGCCCTTTCTTTGGACACCTTTGCTTGTGTTTTCCCAGGCCACTCACCTTCATGCCAGATAAAGACATTGGGCTGCAGGGCACTGGCGTCCACATTGGTGACAGCCACCAGCACATCCCACAGAGTGGTGTTTCTGATTTCTGCAATTTCCTCCTCAGAGAAAAGCCTAAGTTGGAGGAAGCCAGGAATTGTTGGAATGGGAAGGGGCTGCAGGCCTCAAACTTGAGAATGAGGAAAGGGGTTGAGAGGGGGTGGGACCAGCTGGAAATCAAGGACCCACGGGGGCTGTTACAGGCAGAGGGTCTGGGCCCAGGCTGAGGTGGAGTCGGAGGTGGGGCCCAGGCAGGCCTTACCCATTCCTGGTGTTCTCAAACCAGTAACGGTCGCCATCCCGCAGCCGCACAAACTGGTCAAGGACTATGGAGCTGAAGAGGGGTCCAGGGTCTCCATGGCTCTCTAGGAGCCCCCCCGGGAGCAGCTCCAGCCGGGACAGGTCCTGGTTGTACAGGGCAGCTGTGGCCTTCAGCACCTGGGGCACCATAGGAAGTGAAGAGTGTGTGCACATATGTATGTGTATTTATGTGTCTGTGTCTTGGTGAGGGCAGCTACTGTTGCCCCATCCCTCAAACACAGGTCCTGTCAATTGTTTGGCTTGCTGCTCAGGCCTGAGGAAGTCTCCTCTTCCTGGGAGCCCCCTCAGTTGGTAACAAATCTGGTGGGAAGACCAATGTGCCCCTGACCATGGTGAGACCACTGTCAGATGCCTAAGGACCATACCCTGTGACCATTATTACCCAGAATTCCTGGACCCAATGATTACCAGCTTCAGGATCACCCTTCCTCATGGGAGGAACACCTCAGGAATAGGACAATGGCACCCAACCCCAGGGCCACCCTGCACGAATGGTACAATATAGTGGTGAGAACATACTCTGGAACCAGGTAGCTGAATTTAAATTGTGCCTCTATGACTAACTTACCAATTATGTCATTGGTAAATGGGAATAATGATGGTATCTATCCTATAACGTTCTTGACATAGATTAAATGAGTTACATATGTGAAAAACTTGGAACAGTATGGACACAGGAAAACTTTAGCTGCTATTATTATCATTACTATTCCTGACCTGGGGGTCCACATTGGGGTTGAGATCACTCCAGTTCTTTGGGGTCTTTAACCCCAAGGCAAGCAGGGCTTGGGTATAGCTGGGCAGCCCCATATCTCGGCCACGTTGGATGCTGCTGGCCATGTAGTCTGTGCGGGAGAATTTGCCAGGGCCGGGCCAGTAATCTAAGGAAGAGAGAGAGGTTCAGGCTATAGGCTCAGTCATTCCAACATTTCTTTGCCCAACAGCCTTGAATTGAGCTGTGAGCACTACCTCCCCCCCACCCCCACACACCCCCAGCACTTATCAGCATATGACCTATGTCCATATCAACCTTGCCTTGGTGCGAGGTCAGTGTCACCATGTGTAATGAGGGGTAATTTTTCTGGCAAGATTCTTCTCCTAAGACTCAAGACTGTTCTAGTCACCAAGCAAAAAATTCCCTGGCCTTTACCTCCTTAACCTCAAGACAGGGCTGGAGGAAAACCTTTAGAGACCTAAGCGCAAGAGATCGTGGTGCCACCCATCCCCCACCTACTCAGACATAGGTAATTTAGAATAAAAACAACACTAAACTGTAAGTTGAGAGAAAACAAGTTCAAGGCTTATTTTCTTCTAATGGCTATTTGCAGTCTGTATCTGTGTTCTTGCATTGTAGGTACCCTAGGTCTACTTGCTGATTAACTCAGAAGAATTGCCAGGCTGCCCAGCCTCCTGGCCCCCATTCCCTCTGGCTCCAGAGCTCACCCCTCAGATCTTCAACCACTATCCTGTCCTCCAGCTCTGAAATCTGGGAGGCCATTCCCAGCAGCAGCTGATTCACTGCCTCGGCACTGTTCAGATTGGGGTTCTGGAAGTAAACAATACATTCAATTAAGGTAGGCTTTCAGGACCCTCCCCAAAGCCTAGTCCCTCTCACCCTGGACCACAGCACCTCAGGACAAAGGGCCCTTGGCCAGTCCTAGAGTCTCTTGAGCTGTTGTCCCCAGATAATTTTCTAATCATCTCACACCACCCTAGAGCAGCAACACCCAAGAACAGGAATTGCTCCCCTCCGCCATGTAATGAGACTCACCTTAACCAACCTTCCCCTGACCCTGAACCCAGGCTTACCTCCCGAATCCAGTAGCTGTTGCAGACTCTGAGAGCTGGGGAGCTGACCAAACCCTTATTCAAGATCTCCTGGAAGTGACAGCTGGCATTTCTGAAATGGGGAATCAAGGATGTGGTAAGGGGATTCAGGAAAGAAGCTGAGATGGGGTTGAGTGAGGTGAGGGACTCAGAGGGTACTGGACAGAACTGAGAGATGGCCGCTGCACTTCCTTGAACAGAGCAGGGATCTGGTAATGTGTGCGGATTGAAGGTCAAGGTTGCTCTTTGTCCACAAAGTGTGGGAAGGGAAGGAAGAAAGAGGGTGACCCAGCTGTTGGACAAATCCTTCTCAGCAACTGAAGTTCAGCCTTTAAGAGGAGCTGAGATTTCCCTGTTAAGTCTGAACCTCCTATCCCAGGGTCCAAATTCTCAAGACTCCAAATTCTATTTCCCTTCCCTCATGACATGTGGAGGTGTATAAAAGGCTCCAGGACCCCAGGGCTGCTGATTTGCCACCTCTGCTTCTCTCACCGCTAGCCCTTCCCTCACCTCATGTAGACGCCAGGGGGCACCATGGTGGAGAAAAACTGCTCAGAGGCCGCCAGGAACTCTGGAGAAATGCTGGGGTCCAAGAAAGGGCGGTACCCTAACCCATGGGAGTAATAAGAGACATGAGCTCCTTACCCCCACATCCTCCCATAACATGCACCCATCTGTCTTCTTTCCCCCTATAGATCTTGATTACATCTCCCTTCAGCCCAGGTGTCCCCCAACACTGTCACCTGTATATTTTGGGGGTGTTTTCCACAGGAAGCTGGGCAGCCACTCATACAAAGCGATGTTCTGAGGGTCAAGAGAGGGGAAAGGGGAGCTGAGTGCTGTAGCTGCCAGGCCAGGAGGGATCTGAGCCCAAGGAAGGCTTAGGTGGGAGGTGCGGACCAGGCAGGAGTAGTCATGGGAGAGGCAGCTCAAACAGGAGAGACGCGGAGGCCTGTCCCCCGAAAGAAATGGGTATATATGGGGGGGGGGTGTGAGCTAAATCTCTTGTATAAGTGGCGCTTTGCCTCCTTATCATTTCAGGGTCTATTCCTTCCTAGGCGTCAGCTCTCTGGGGAGGGTGTCCTCCTGGAAAACGGAGTTTCTGGGTGAGGGGCTTTGGGGGAGAGCGGAGCCTCCTGTGGAGCAGGACTTGGGAGGAGGGCCGTGCGACTGACCTGGTAGGTGGCGATGACCCTCTTGCGCGCGTGCTGGAACAGCTCCTCGTCCCTCCAGCCCGGATGCTCGCGGGCCAGCCTCTGCGCCCACAGATTGTGGTAGCGGAACCAGAGCAGGCCCAGTGCCTGCAGGAAGGGCTCGCGATTCCCTCGCTCCGCCCCGAAGGCTGCATCCGATGTGCGGATGCAGGGGACGAGGTGAGCGGCAGTGTGACCCCGGGGAGCGGCACCTCGCCGACCCCTAGCCCGCCTTCCATCCAGCCCTGGCCGCTCCGCCCCTCCAGCGCCCTTGCCAGACCCGGCTGCCTTACCGTACAG